CTTTTGTCCTAGCATTGGTGCTCAGAATTCTTCATGCATTGCATTGTGCATTAAAACAGATGATATAAGAGAGTAACAGAGCCAAACCTAGACCCTGGCTATTGCAGCATACATTAAGAAAAACCAAAGGCAGCTTCATAAAAAAAATAAAAAAGGCACACACAGATAACTGTATTCAAATATAATAAGAAGTGTGTTTTTGGGTTGTCAAGCACAGACGAGCAAGTCCATGCAAAGAGGACCAGGATCAAACTGGCTTGACTGCTACAAACCTCTGAGCCGCCGATCCTTCATTTTAATGTTGACTACTTCTTAGTATTTTGTCATGTACACAATAAGCTCCAAGTGTGAAATAGCAGGTCTTACAATTATCTGTCAGCAAAGCTGACAATAAGGGAAGTATACACACTCTATTTTAAGACCATTAAAACAGTACATGAACAAGGAGCAGAAAACAACCGAGCAAGCAGAAGCAAAGAGTGGGCCTGATGAACATGTTTTACAAGACAGTCTGAATGATTTTGGTCTGTGTCCCTTTGAGCATTATGTAAGAATTAGAAACATATTAGTGTAGTATGTCTGCTGGACAACACTGATCTTATTAACTGCAGTCATTTTGCTCTGTTTTTCCACAGGTTTTCAAATCAGGGCCGTGTACTACCAAGCAAATCCAACATCCCCAAGGTATCTTTAACCAACCCCAACAACCGCAATCCGGCTAAGCGGCCCTATGACGATGGTTATTAACTTTGTAAATCAGCCCAGGGATTCTCAATCTGGCTATAAGCGAGTTCACATAAAAGGGGCGGAGTTTGCAGCATATCACCATTTACAAACATTGACAGTTCTGCTGTCAGCCTATTCTACAAACGAAGAGAAAACTACAATATTGGACATAAATCAAAAAAATTAAACACATAATCAGGCTAAAATGAACAAAGTTGCAGCTGCCAAATGCAGAAACATTGCCAGAAGCATGAATGCGTAACTATAATCTTATAATATAACTGCCCCAGCTAGAGCACAGGTAGATATGATTGTAATTACATTTGTGTATTCTGTTTGATGTGTTGCTTAGATGTATTCTTATAAAAGAAGATACTTTATTCACCTCAGGGAAATGATGGCGTGTTTGAGACAATATATTATTATTCTTTTTTTGACCCCGCCGGAATGGAACGGACTAGGGTCCAAATAAAAAATAAATACAAAAACATAATTCTAAGTGTTAAGCATTCTTACTTCCTTAATTTGTAATCACTCGGAGCATACGTAAAAGTACCGGTAGTAAAGTAACGCAAGGCAATGCATAAAGTCTGCGGGACTATAGGGACTGTCATTTGCTAGACCGCCCCGTTAATACAGGTGCGAGTTGAATGCAGGAGACCAAACATTTGAATGTTTTACCGCAGTGAAAATGCTGTTTATGAAAGGCTAAACACCAAGAAATATCAACTTAAGTAGAATATTTTGTATTTATAAATATTTTTGGGAAATAATTACATCTGTCTTTTTTCATAAATGTTGACTTCTGCACTTTACCACGCTCTGGAGTTATTGGAAAAAATACCAGTCAGAAACAATCCTAGGAAGCCACCACTGTAATCTACGCTGTATTTCTACAAATATTTATAATGCCAATGGGCCTAATATTGGTCCAGCGTGGTCTTTATCAAATCGAATATCAACGTTAAGAATGACTTTTGGAACTATTCGGTACAGCCCTACTTCTAAGATATAAAAGTTTAGTTACTGCTTAGCCCATATTATTTTTCCATTTACTCCCAAGTCCTTGTCACACCACCAGGGTTGCAGCTGAAAGAATAAGGCTAAAATATTTTCATACAAGCCTTAAGAATACATCTGCAACATCAATTTAATGGAATACACACATGTAATTATTGTGCTCTAGATGGGCAGTGATATTATAAGCCTGTTCATTTACCCATTCTTCAGTTTCTGCAGGGTGAACCACCACAGAAAACCCAGGGTTAAACCTGAAGTTACCTCGCTAACCCCAAATCCTGCTTCTTGATACAGGGCCCAGGTTACGAGACGGGGGAACTTGATGCATAAAATGTATAGAGCAGATCTTGTTCTGTTCACTCACAGCTGTGTTCTTTAGGCTCTGTTTCTCATTACATTACATTACAGTCATTTAGCAGACGCTTTTATCCAAAGCGACTTACAATTCAGAGTCTATCACATTTCTACACCGTAGGCACAGCTACGGGAGCAATTTTGGGGTTAAGTGTCTTGCTCAAGGACACATTGACATGCGACTAGCGGAGCCGGAGTTCGAACTGCCGACCCTCTGATTGAAAGACGGCCCTGCTATCCACTTAACCACAATCGCCCCACCCGCAATCGCCCCTTCTCTCATGCTGTGGTCTTAAAATCAATATTAACCGAACACAAATAACATTTTGAGAATTGATAATAGTTGGACAATGATTTGTGAATCTGTCTTTTGTTTTGGTCAGAAATTGATCCCTCACCTCTTTTTATTTACGTCCATGGTCTTGTTACATGACTCTGTTCAATGTGTGTTGACTTGTCAGTGAATGGCCCTCCTCACATATTGACTCCTGTGGCCTTGGTGTAAGGGACAAGAGAAGGACAAAATCCCTGTGGTGAGCACAAGAGTGAAAGACATAACCCCTGTTTAGCCTCTCCTCTGAGCTTTTGTGTTTCACAGGAAAAAAACGGACACACACCCAAACTGCATGAAACTACATTTAAAGTCTAGAGTTCAGTAGAAGCAGAGCCCTCATTTAAATACAAGCCCTACAGACACTCCCCCTGGCGTCATGAATGGGCACCAGAGGTGGCCCATCAACAGCAGCACAGAGAGTCTCCAGACTAAAAATAGTTGTGGATCCAGAGGAGCAATCAGTGGACTACATGTTGTGCGGAAACAAGCAGGGAGGGGGTTGGGGGTGGGTGGGGCTGATTACCTCCAGTTGGTTCGCCCTGGGAAACTGATGCCAAATCAATTCTCAAAGGTGCACTTTTGACAAACATGCTGCAATGGTTTTACCAACTGGGGGACATTGAATTCAATCTGATAACTGTCAGTGTGAAAGCCTTGTCTGCAGAGACAGATACATCTAGTTTGTTGTTTCAAAAACATATTGTCTGATGTTTCAGTCCAGTTATACAGCAAAATGAGGGAAAATACTGTAGAGAGCTGAAAATCAGTCACAAGATAATAATAGGATGGACTAAGCACTTGGTAGACAGGACTGAAAAGCTTACATGCAACAAAATGGGAACATCTGGACAAACCTCAGCAGGTTCACAACAGAATAAGAAAAATTATAATCAATCTGACTTTTATATACACCTGAAAAATAATTTGTTTTTGTCACTTTGATTTGATGTGTTGATTTATACAAAGTAAATGAAATACACACAAAGTCTAGAAGTTGTAAAAGCAGGCTTCTGACCACAATACTCTACAGATGTATATAGGTAAATGTAGGTTAGGAAGGTAAACAAATATTATACAACCTCTTTACTCTAAATACTGCAAGTACAATTCCCCAAAATTCAATCTGACATATTTTATATTTTTGGAAGTTTAAAGAATACATATCTTTGGGTTTAAATGGTGTTTGGCTGCAGAGGGTGAGTTTGTATATGAAAACACTGCAGAGTCCAGCAGTATTTAAGAGGTTAAGTAGGCGAGCACTGAGACCACTGCCCCTGTCAGGATCCCTGTCTGACCCATTGTGTGTTGAGTTCTGTTTCCCCCGATCTCCTCTCCTCATGTGTTCTGTCATTTCTCTGTTTGTTATTGTGTGCCATGTGTTTTCATCTGTCTGCCTCCAGACACCTCCCATGGCCACACCCCTGATTGGGGCACAGCTGTAGACAATCAGCTGATCATCTCCTGCAGGCTGAAACACCAGACCCAGGTTCCACTAATCACATCTTGGCAGTAACCCTGGTCCTGCAGTTCTGGGTTGTCAGTCCATACCGTCTTCTGTTCCGGTATTCCGTTACTTCCGTCTGTAAGTTTCCCTTTTGACGATTACTGGTTCTGTTCTCTCTGCTACAGGTCATAGTGCCTGCCAGTGTGTCTGCCTTCCGGTGTCAATCCACAGGAAAAGAGACAGCCTTTTTCACTGACTTTTCTGGTTTACCAGCTGTAGGCCTACATGTAGGAAATCTAGTATTTAAACCAAAACATCTTGATTACAGTGACTGACTGCTCATCTCTTTAGGGGGTTTCCCCTAATAATATCCAATGATTGTTAATTCAAAGATGAGAAAGGTATGTGACATGAATATATACTGGGCATGTTTTTTGCTGTTAATGAGTGCAAATATAGCTAATAAAGATACTAATTTATCAGAAACATGATCCCTGTCAGTGTTTTACTATTATATATGGATATTACATATTTATATTTGTTTGGATCATTATTCCCGCTGCAGATGTTTCAGGTGGAGTTTATTTTAACTTCTTTATACACTGTTGTTCAGTTTGGGTAGTTACGAAAGGTTTGAAAAATTATATTGTTTAAAGTAACTAAAGCTGTCAGACAAATGTAGTGGAGTAAAAAGTCCAATATTTCCCTCTGAGATGTAGTGGAGTGGAAGTACAAAGTTGAATAAAACGGAAATACTCAAGTAAAGTACCTTGAATTTGTACATAAGTACAGTTCTTACGCAAATATACTTAGTTACATTCCACCACTGATCATAATATTTACTCTTACTACTCACAGCTCATCAAAACCAAACAATGTGCTGCTTTTTATAAAGAGGTGGAATAATGTTGAGCAGGATTGAGTTCAGTCTATTGGTCCGGCTCTCCACAACACTCCCTGTCTCTCATGTGGCCCCCCACCCCCGGCCTAGGGTGTCAAAAAAAAGTCATAATATAGTATGACGAAAAAAGTTATGGTATAGGCTCTTTTGATTTAGATGTTTTCTCGTGAATCTAAGACTGGCCAAACTATCTCGCGCCTTTCCCACCAACCTCAATCGACATGCGGACACGCGCTGTGAAAGGCTTTAAAGCCCACACTGAGCTTAATGCAGTAAGAGGTAACAGACTACAGAAAGAAAACACCTCTACAGTGATAACTGCCTGTATTTATTAGTTACCATTATTAAGTACAGTGATCATGTGTGCAGACACACTTATCAAAAGTCTCTCCAGCTGTTAAAGCAGACTGACAGCTGATAACAGCTGGATCAGCTGTTATCAGCGGCCGCCTTCAGCCGTCGCTTGAGGTGACGCAACTGAGGAAAGGACGTCTCATGTCTCTTAAAACATATTTCCTCGTTTCCTCTCTCCTCGCATGGTTTCCTCCATGCATCCCTGGTGGGAGGGACTAAGACGCAAGGAAAGGACGCAAGTGAGGGAAACGGGGATGCAATTAAGAGACTTGAGATGTACCCTGTGACTTTTTTAGGACTCTTATCGACATATGTGACGACCTTCCTACTCCCATGTATACTATGTGTCCCTGTTACTTGTTTGTTGCTGGTGGTGATGATTGGAGTGTCATCAGCTGGATGAGCCACTTGAGCCGGTGTGGCTCTGACCTTAATTCAATACCTTGTTAATTTGGCAGGCTTGCTCTCTGCAGGGGAGAATATCCTTTCTTCCACTGGCATGACACTGTTCTTTTGGTTTATATTCTGCTTCTTGCTATATATTGCCACACATACCCATACATACAGGCTGGTTTTGAAGAGTTTCCAGCAGCTAGAAGGAGACACTGGCAGCACTCGAGGATTGTGTCTGTCCTCCATGTGGACATGTGCTTTACAAACTGACCATGTTGTGATCGGCCCAATTCTTGGCCAACACAACCCCTATTATTTCAAACAAGTACAGTAACATGTACAGACATGCTACTAATATGTTATCAATTAGTAAAGTTACATCCTGTAAAAAAAACATCAAGTTTCTACTAAAAGGTTGTTTAGTTGGTAAAAAGCAATAGGAGCACAGAGAGTAATACAAGTGTGATATAGGGGTGTGTAAATGTCTCTGGAGAGAAGAGATTTGTCCAACTATTGCCCAAAGACAGGCAGGATGTGGACCAAAAAACAAACAGCAAATGTATATTTTTATTATATTTCAAATTGATGTTTGTGTCACTTATTCTGAAAATCTGTCTTCCTGTCTCTAAAAATAGATCACAACAATGGAAACGTGTAAAAGCGTTATAACAGTATCCAACCTGACGCCCTCAAAGCTCCATGCAAACATGCATTTCTATATTATTGGACATTATATGAGACGGTGTTTTGTAATGTAATAATAAGCCCGAGTGGAGAATTCATTTGTGGTTAACCCCTGGGCAGGTCACGTGACTCTCAAAAGTGACAGGAGACCGTGAGTCTAAAGCTAGCTTTATTATTTTAGCTCATGTCCATAAGGATATTCCTCATAAGGTTGTATTTAATAGCTGTATTTTACCATTGAGACTCTCTCAATCAACAAAATACACCAATATTTATGCTAATATTGGTAATATGTTCAATTGTCAGTGTAAATTCATCCACTAGGACTGACTTTTGACTGTTGTGACCAAGTTTAAACACGTTTTAAACCAAAGCTTTTTTCTTGGTTAGCTAACGTTAGCTTTATAGCCCCGACCGTGTAGCATTAAGCTAGAATACGCTGATAAATGCTAATACAAATATTGTTTCTATATATTTATACAACTTGGAGGTGATATGGATCATAAGTGACGCACGTATGACAATATATTTAATCCGTATTATTTCAATGTATTCACAATTCACACGTTTCCTACATACTCGTCATGTTTTTCATAAATGAGACTATTTTACACCAAACCTCGTTCAAAACCTAAAATATATATATTTTTATAGAAAAAGCGCTGATGTTTCTGACTTTCAGTCAATCAACAAGACTAATTTAAATTTACATTTTTTTTTTTAAGTAGTCTGGTGTAAATCTCGCTGTGTAAGATGTATCTAGATGTACTCTGTGTAAACTGTAATAACGCTTCCAGACTGATAGTAATTATCTACACACATGTACACGTGTTGACGTGCACGCACATATTAATGTTTACAATAAACTGCTGACAGAAATCATTATACAGCCTAATCCTTCATATGCTCATGAATTATGAAAACAAAATGGAGTTGTGAATATCAGAGCAGGTCAGGTGTCATTTTAATACATGTGACAGTAAACTGTTGTGTATAGTGAAACTGTATCAGTGGTGACTGTGTGTTCACGGGTTTGATACCAGGAGCATGTAGACATATGGAAGGCCTCCTGCAGTAACAACACTGTGACACAAATGCAAACATTTTGCACTTTACTGTGTGTTTTTTCTCCATATATTTATAGCGTATAATTTATTGTGTGACATTTACTTTCTGTCTAGTCGTACTGCTTTGTGGTACTGATCCGTTTAATGTGATGTGAGAAAGTACCATGATGTGCATCAGTGGTCTGAGGGTTGTGTGTTTTTACCCTCAGATGGCCCGACGGAGCGCGAACACCAGATCCCGGACCCTAACCGTCCCGGACCCCCACCTGACAACGACCCTGGCAGGACGATTACAGTCCCTCCAACCAGGAGCACGGTAAGAGCACCAAGAACCTGAACGTCACAGTTATTTTAACACTTTATTGATACGTTTCTTTCATCATCAGTCCATTGCATGTATTTTATACAAGTTACATTTACAAATAACAGAAAATATCTAAGAGACATAAAACTCAACAAAATAGAAAGACAAAAGGGGGAGGTTTGGGGGAGTGGGGTGAGGGAGGAGTTCCAGCCTTCCAGACTAATCTATAACTGATATTAACCATCTGTAACTGGATGCGTACATGTGCACGACAGCCAAAAAAACCTGAAACTGGTGTAGAAACGATATGACAGCAGGATAAACAACATGATCCACATGATGGAGGAGATTCAAACCTGTAACAGCTGCTGCTGAACACCAGAAAGAAAAGTTCTTAAAGATACGACCTGTAGGACGAGTCCTCAGCAGCTGTAGCTACTTTCTCTGCACAGAGCATTTGTTTTTGATCTCTGTACCGCCACAAGTTGATGGTTAGTTGCTGCTCTGTGCAGACAGGAGGACGTTCCAAACGCTCTTTTGCTAATTTGGTAGTCAGGTTTTCTCGGCTCACCTGTGGAGCACGAGGTGTGTTTTAGAAAGAACGGTTCTGAGGGAGTTATGAGCGGAGCGAGAAGTTTAAAGTGATTCCTAGTTCTCGGTGGAGCTGTGTGAACTGTTTTAGACCATAAAGAAGGATATGCTTTAGGGCGGGGCTACCTCGTGATTGACAGGTCGCTACCAGAGCCGTAGGCAGCGTCACCACGTCCCTCTTTCCGTTCAAAAACAAGATGGCGGCGGCCAAAATACTGATCTTAAGGTGCAGTGGTCTGATGGTTGTCATTTTCTTTTTACCTTCAGGCGGATCAACGCTTCACGTGGAGGCCTTTCCTCATCCAGGACCCCAACCGGCCCGACGCCCCACGGATCATCCTCCGTAGGATCCCAGCTTCAACGCGCTGTGACCCTGGGCGTTCACATCGGCCATCCACTCCCTCCTCTCCCCCAAGCTCCCCCCAAAGGCCAGGCAAGAGAAGGTAAGTTTTATTTACTCAGCACATTTCAGCAACAAGGCCATTCAAAGTTTTCAAAAGCATTGAGACAAAAGAAACACACCACAAAATGACATTCAAATACAATTAAAAGCATTAAAGAGCCAAGAGAAGAGGAAACTAAGACTAGCTAAAATAGAATAGGACAGGAATAAAATACAAGACTAACAGTTAGAGTGCAGTCAGAAACGATTTGCTGAAAGACAGCGGTGAATAGAAAGACTTCAGCCTTGGTTTAAAAGAAGAGACAGTTGTAGCCGACCTGCAGTTTGCTGGGAGTTTACTCCAGATAAATGGTGTATGGACATGTTTTTATAAATCCTGCTTTCATTTTTTAATACGGGTTTTAATTTCCCATATGATATGAATTTTTCACACACCGTCATACCGGTGCATAGCAGAAACAACTGCTGTCACTCTTCAACAGGCAGCTAAATATATTGTTCGCCATTAAGTAGGGCTGCACAATTAATCGAATTTTAATCACGATTTTGGCTGCCACAATTAAATGAGCATGATCGTCAGCGATATTGACGTTTAAAATGCGTGCTCTGCTACATATCAAATCAAGCGCTTCCTCGACTAACAGTCAGCCGACCACCAGGGGGAGAACGAGATGGGAGGTGTCATGCGCGCACCCTGCAGCACAGAGTACGTTAGAGTTGTGTCTGCGCCGCATAGCAATACAACTAACTTGTTCAACCACCTGAAAAATCACCACAAACCACAGTACGACGAATGCATTAAGGCCAAAGCTAACGTTGCCTCGCTGAATCTCCGTCCATGTCCAACGTCAACCCAGAAACCCATAACAGCGACCCTGCATAGCGCAACAGCGTATCCATCCACCTCCCAAAGACACACTGAAATAACGGATGCAATCGCATTTCATTTGGCCAAAGACATGTCCAATAAATACTGTGCGCAATGAAGGCTTCAGAAAAATGGTCAAGACACTAGACAAGAGATACGTGATCCCCTCGCGCAATTATTTCTCCAAACAGGCATTACCTGCACTGTATGAAAAACGTCGGGGGGGAATACAAAGGGATGTCACAGCTGTCGAGTATTTTGCGACTACGATTTTATTAATATTTTTCTTCAGGTGAATAAGAACCGTATAAGTTTTATTTTGATGCAAAGACGTGTACATTAGCTGGAATGTAGCACAACATGGAAGTGAAAGCAGTGCTCTGTTGATTTAATTTTGGGTAAAAAGTGTTGATACTATTTTATTTATATTTTCCTTCTACGAGATGCACTGTGATCAGGACCAGTCTGATGCAAAGATGTGTACATTAGCCAGAATGTAGCACAACAATGGAAGTGGAAGCAGTGTTCTTGTTTATTTAAACGTGACTAAATTAATGAATAATCGTGATCAAAATAATCGTGATTATGATTTTGGCCATAATCGTGCAGCCCTACCGTTAAGGGCGCTGCGGTCGGAGCTAGTTGTCTTAAGTGTATTGAGAGGGACCCCTAGTCATGGTTATAACTGTATAACAACAATTAATAACCCACAACTAACGTTCTTTAACAGGGCAAAACACCACGACACAACAGTTTATGACAAATAAACAATTTGTAACACTAATAATTGTACATTTATAAAATTTCACCGCCGAAGTGCATGCTGGGTACAGCTCGCTCGCTAGCCCGCTAGCACAACAGTCTGCTAACAGCTGGGAGAGGCTCCGTTGCTACAGTAACGTTACATTAAAGAACAGAACAGAGCGATGCAGGATGAACAAAGACAGACCGGAGATGTCTGTGCCCAAGAGAGGAGCTGGGTCTGCTGTTTGGAAGTGTTTTGGTTTCAAAAAATCCGACGTTTTGCGAGTTTGTTGAGTCACTGTTGTTGCTGCTGGTGGTAACACGAGCAACTTACTCCATCACCTCAGCAGAAAACATGTGTTGGAATACCAAGAGTGTGATGACGGCCGTCGGATTCGAGGCCGTCAACCAGTAACGTTAACGCTAGTGAAACAGTGAAGCCAAAGGGTCACACATCGCTTGAAGAGGCATTTGCTTGAGGCAGCATATGACAAGAAAAGCAAGCGGTGGAGCGACATTACGAACGCAATAACGATCCAGCTATGCAAGGACATGGTCCCGCTACAGACAGTCGAGAAAGACGGGCTCAGAGCAATGATTAAAACACTGGATTCAAGGTACGTCTTACCCGGGCGAAAGTACTTCAGCCAAGCTGCTATCCCAACATTATACAAACAAATGAGCACACCCTCTAGTAAGCAAAGCCTTCATACATGATGACATTAACATGTTTTTATATTCTATGTACTCCTGACAGTAGAGTAAGCCACTATAAACCTATATTAAAAACACAGCCAAGGGGGGAAAAAAATACCGTGATATACCGTGAAACCGGCAGAATCTTAAAAAATACCGTGATACACACTTTTGGTCATACCACCCAGCACTAGGCTGACTTTGTAATTGTCTTCATGCGGCTGTTGAAATTCAGAGTCCATAGCTACACCTAGAGTTCTGTCTTGGTCTCTGGTTTTCAACATTGTCGATCTAAGCAGAGCGCTGACTTCTAATTGTTCCTCCTTGGCTTCAAAACAACTACCTCACTTTTGTCTTTGTCAGTTTTGCTCAGACTGGACAATAGTTCCTGTGATATGGTTATGTAACATTGTGTACCAACTGCATAATCATTTTGTTGTTTTTCCAAAGTTTCTCTGAACCACCTGAGGTTCCCGGTGAGCCTGGAAAGGTAAGTGAGCCTGGAAAGGTAAGTCTAAAGAACAGGAGGCTTGATCCGGAGTGGAGGAACCAGTTTTACAGCTGGTGGGGCAACAAGGCCCCTGGACCTCCAGGCATTCAGGTAAGTCCACCTAAACCCCCTCAGGGACCCGGTGTGCCTGTAAAGGCAAGTCCACCTAAACCCCCTCAGGGACCCGGTGTGCCTGGAAAGGTAAGTCCACCTAAACCCCCTCAGGGACCCGGTGAGCCTAGAAAGGTAAGTCCCGGTGAGCGTCGCCTGCCGGAGTGGGCGAGGAAGGTGGGTCTTTATCTGGAGAGGAGAGACCAGTTTGACAGCTGGCGGTGCAACAGAGACCCTGAACCTCCAGGTAATGTTCAGCACCACACTCCATATCGGCACGTTTATTCATTTGAACTGAATTTAGCTGACTTTGAAGTCACTTATTTAGACTGAAATGATTGTGTTGAATTATTTAGAGTTTCAGTTGTATTAGATACAAGTATTAAGTTGTATGTCAGCATTGAGTTGTATGTCAGCCTCGAGTTGTATTTGATTGTTTATTTTGGTTATTTCTTCGTTAAATAAATGTCTACGTATTACTTTTATCACTTGTCTTGTCTCCCTTATGTTGCAGCATATTAGTATTAAGTTGTATTGTGACGAGCCCTCCCATCCACTCGTGGTCTGTGTCCTGTTTGCTGGCTGCTCTGTCTTTCAGGATGTTGATCGGCAGCTAACGAGCCCCACCTGAGCCTGCTGGCCAGCTGCACCACCTGAACATGGCGAGGTGCCTCCCCTCCTCTCCGGTCCTCACGGCAGCTGCTTCATTTGATTGATTCTTTGTCTGATTGTTTGTTTTAGTTTGGTTATTTGTTAGTTAAATGTCTATTTATTGCTTGTATCACTCGCCTTGTCTCCCTTATGTTGCGGCCTTTGAGCCAGGTCATAACAGTATATACAGGTGCATCTCAATGAATTAGAATATCATCGAAAAGTTAATTTTCAGTAATTCAATTCAAAAAGTGAAACTCATATATTATATATATTCATTACACAGGGTGATGTATTTCAAACGTTTATTTCTTTGAATTTTGATGATTATGGCTTACAGCTAATGAAAACCCCAAATTCAGTATCTCAGAAAATTTGATTACATAAGATAACCAATTACCAATTAAAGAAAGGATTTTTTAATACAGAAATGTTGGCCTACTGAAAAGTATGTCCGTATGCATTCAATACGTGGTCGGGGCTCCTTTTGCATGAGTTACTGCATCAATGCGGTGTGGCATGGACATGTGGCCCTGCTGAGGTGTTATGGAAGCCCAGGTTGCTTTGCTAGGGGCCTTCAGCTCGTCTGCATTGTTGGGTCTGGTGTCTCTCATCTTCCTTACAAGGAAACATCTGGACCAAATAACTCAGTCCACCTCGACGACTCCATCCCTGCCAAAGAGCGCAAGTTCACAATCTTGACGCAGGTGTGGTAGACGGCTTTTTTTCACGCATGGAGTACAGCTGCATTGCTTTTATTTTGAAGGCGACTGCTGTTGGTTTTTTTTTATCTCTCTTTACGTACGTTAGTACGTTCGTGGATGTGTGCAAGCAGCAGCGTCACTGCAATCTCAATAATAGTGTCGGCAGCCGGAATCGAGCCGGTGTACTTGGCGCGTTATTCGGCAACCGGACTCGGCCTGACGTGTCTTCCGGCATGCCGAGCTTGCGCCGGAGCTGGGCCACGTCATTTTGGATACCTGGGATGTGTGATGCAGAGCGGGCACGGACATCTGAGGCTTTGCTAGCTAAGCTGCAACCTACACGATCGACCTACATATGTGAACAAACATTCTCCGTGATGAAGTTGAATTAATCCAGATCCTCTCTCACGAACGATCACCTGTCAGCTGTCCTTCACATCTCACCTCACCTATTCAACCTGACTTCAGTGCACTCGTTCACTGAACTGAAAAACAGAAAATGAGGTCATTGGACTACAAACAATAGTAGGCTACTATAGAGACATTTTTACGGCTTGGAAATGGAATACTATATTTTTAACTTTTATGACGTACTATACACTTTTTCGCTCTCGCTCTCCAAGAAGAGGGACAATGTTCCTTTTTTTACATCCAGGTTGTCACGAAAAGCACTGGATGAAATTTGTCCAAAAGGGGTCCAATTAGGTCCACAAACTAGCTTCACGCAACCTTGTGCGGCTCTGGCCGACTGTGTCATCTACGGCTGCAAATTGTCTCATGCACTCGCAATTCATATTTCGCACATTGATTTCTGGTTAATAAAGGAATGTTTTTTTCTTGCAAGGTGTGGTCTTGCTCTGAAAAGTATCTCCAGATAACTTGTTATGATTTTACACTATATAAACATATAGGATTGAATTGTTGCATGAGATTAATAAATCAGTGTAATGTATGCCATAAAATGTAAAAGACAAAAAGTATTGTACAGAATGCCATGAATGTCTTTGTATACTATACCATCAATTTAACAAATTTCCCCTTTCCCCCAGGATTAATAAAGTATCTATTATAGGTCAAGCAATACAATTGTATAGTATGTAATTAAGAAGTAATAGTATAGTCTGCCAAAAATAGTTATTAGAAATGTCATAGTAAAGTATGCCAACATAAAAAAGTCATGGAATAGTTTGTCGTTAAAGTGACAGACAAATATCATAGTATAGGTTGCTATAGAGAAGTCATAATATTGTACACCATATGAAAGTCATTAAGAAAGGCCATAGAATAGTATTCATTTTGACATATCATACAAACATAGTATAGTTTAGTATTAATTGAAAAGGTCATACTACAGTATGCCATTAAAATGTCATTGAAAATGTCATCGGATAGATTGCTATACATATGCTATAATAACTGTCATAGCACTAAAATATCAAAACATATCAAAGTATAGTATGTCAGTAAGTTATTATAAAAAGCCATACTATAGTATGTCAAAACTGTCATCAAAAGTCATAGTACAGTATGCCACAAAAGAAAATCATAGTTTAGAATGCCATAAAAAAGGTCATACTACATTATGCCATTAAGTCATTCTATGTAATAAAAAATGTCATGAAATTATATTAGTATGCTATTAAATTCATAGTATAGTATGCCATAAAAGTAATGAAGAAATAGCATTGTATGCCTTTCAAATGTTATTTTATATTGTGCCATAAAAAGAAAAGTAAAAAATAGTATGCCATATAAAAGTAATTGTATAGTATTCCACTAACATATCATAAAAAAGTAATTTGGTATAGTATGCCAAAAAATCATAATACAGTACCACATGAAAAAAGAAGTGACCTGGATAAAACATGTTCTTGTTGGCTGCATCTTAGAAGTGCTTGCTGTAAAGGTCTGCGATTACTGATTGACACAAACATCCGTTTTAGCTCCAAACCCTGGAAAACACTGTCAAAAGTCCAAAGTTGGACTCTTGTGTGCCCACTTTAAATTCCCGTGTACTTTTCAATTTTCTCTATAGCAAGTAAATATCAGGGGTGTCAAACTGGAGGTGTAAGTGTAACCTGAGGCCACAGTGGTCCTATCTAGCCCAGCGTGACACTGTCTCAGTCCACAGGAGCTAAAAGGCTGATTGATGGTCGGAGCTTCTCTCTCAGTTGAGAGGGGAGAACACCAGAGAGCGTTAGAAAAAGGGAGCAAAAAAAAGAAAACTGAGCATGGAAGTCTCATTAAAAGTGTTCATGTTGAGTGCAGATGTTTAACGGACGGATTCAATTTCTGAGGTGTGCAGATACATATTTAGGGTGGTAACGGTGGCGGGGAAACACACCTCTAGCTAAATCAATTGGACAGGTATGAGATTAGAGATCCCTCGTCAGCCATCCCCGGAGACAGAGGAGCAGCATGTGGCCCTGTGCGATACAGGTGGAGGCTGTCGGAGGTCCAGCAGCAGGTGACCTCAGCATTCCCCCTCTGCTGGGGCTTGTTTATGTACTGCTCCCTTTATATCACACCTCGCCACAGGCCTAATTAACAGGCTTTTCAACAGAGTCCAGGGTCCATCCAACAAGGTGTGCTGTGCATTAATGCTCTAACACCAGTGACTGGTGTCCCTCGGACCCCAGCCAATTAATCCTAATATAATTAGAAAATGGTGAGGTTCAGGGAGTCGGATATTTATATCAAAATCACTGGCTTTGATATGCAACTCTTTGGCACTGATTCAAGGCTGTATCCTCTGTTAAATGATGAACCAGGCGCAGCCACTTTTTTTTGGTGGAGGTAGAATTAAGCTGGAACAGGACAAGGTTGGAGGAGAATTACTAGGATGACAAACCAGATGTGGATTACTCTTTGACAGCATAAATTCCCCTGTTTATTTAAGCAGGACACACACTGTTCATTTGTATTATTCTTGTAAACTGTTAAATCACACTACACATTTTAATCAGCCTTTCTGCCCAACAAAAACCTGCGATTTCACACTGTTTGTATCCATTGACCGACCACAACTTGGTGCTCAGTTCTGTCCATTTACAGTTCCAATTAAATGTATTCTAACAAGACAACAGCATCCTCAACAATGTTGATAAAAAGAGGAAGGCAGCTTTACTTTGGGAAAATCTACCATGGATATAAACAAGAGAGAAACAAGTCTTAAGACCACAGTTTTAGCCACAACATATAAAGTATTCCCCCAATAATATTAAAACTAACTGCAGTTTATAACAGATCATTTTACAGCCGTAACAGGGGAAATGGGATCACTGAACTGTCAAACCCAAGACAGCCAACCAAAATCCAGATTATTGATTATTCAGCAGTTGATCAATGTGCAAGATAACCAATGAGGCAGAAATTCCACATGATTCTAAAATGAGTCTGGGTTACAATCAGGCTTAATCCAACATCACAGATACAATCTCAGTCGGATCCTAAAAGTGCTGTGAAAATTAATATTAATCATGGAAAATGAGCAAAGAAATCATCATCAGGTCAGTGTGCCTAAAATAACTGCTGATATTATTTGCAATTTTAGTATTGTAATTGAGCATTTCACTTTCAACTGACGAGCACTAAATCAAAATGCCATTCACATCCTCACTCCAGGTTGAGATTGTGTCACCAGTCTGCCGTTTTATGCAATCACCGACCTTTTCATGTGAAGCACATCGTGTCGAGGATCACAGTCGTTTCTCCATCTGCAACAACACGTTTGTAAGAACAAGAAGGTTTCCTCTAACATGCAGCTGCATGAATACGTCAAACAGCTGAAACTCGGTTCTAAAACCATTTAAAATAGTTATTCCCATCAGACCGTTAATCCCTCATATATCTTTTTGACAAGGGACTGCTATTAGTCAGATTTGAACCCCTGAGCAAGAATTAAACGGAGGTTTTGGACAGGCTGGTTGTTAAAGTACTGCTCTCATTCTCTTCTGTATCTCTGGAGAGCTTCCGCCTGCTGTTGAAGGTGGTGACTTATTTTGGCTTAAACCGTTGAGGTCACTGAAAT